TGAGGAGATGTCCAACGACACGCCCCAGTAGTGGTGACGCCAGGATGCGTCGCAGCAGATAAGGGAGGATATGGCGCGTTGGCGAATTGCATGACACATCTGGGTGCCAATGCTTTCCTGAAACTGTAGATTGATTTGCGATGCGATCAGTGACGCGCTCCAACTTTGAAGTAAGTACCCGTGACTTCGCACGCAGGTGCGACAGCGAATATGCCCAGTGTTTGCTGTACGATTCCCAAGATTATGGACGCATGTGTGGGGACGTGGGGTTTCGCGTCGCAGCACTTTGTTTCTTGTTTGCAAACATATATCGGGTTTCGAACAGTCCGTGTCTGTGCACCTCGCTGTAAGCATGCGCGATACCAGCTGCGAGTATGTATTCTGCAACGTGCGCATGCCTCCATGTTCTTGTGTTACAAAACCGATTGTTTTGTTATCGTATATTCACACATGCGTAGTTATATATCAGCGAGCTTCAGACCTCGAGTTCTCAGCAACCTCTTCACATCCGAAGGGGGCAACAAAGAAGCGCTCTCCTGTAGTGTGGTAGACGTAAGAAACGAGCACGCGATTCTGGGTCACATGAGTATCGTTGAGTGAGAACCCGCGCGGAACAAAAAACGGAAAACAACACCGGGGACAGTTACGCAGTTTGTCACGCTCCTGATTTGTTCGTTCACGTGTTGCTTTCTGCTTAGGGGGCTGGATCACATCAGTGACCAAACTTTCGATCCAAAAGCACTAGCCAGGGCGCATCGGCTCCACTGCGAACCGCTGCCCCGAGATTTGTATCGTGGGCGGTGGATTTGGCCAACTGTTTTCCTACACGTTGGTTCGTGGTGCTGCTGGAACCGTCCGACCCCCTCTTCCATGCCACCGAAGGTTGTTTCGCCGACGCTCAGACTGGGCATTTCCAATGCACCATTGTCAATTCCCAGATGACATAGCAACGTATAACGGTGACGTCTCGATTTGGCAGTCTTGGGGGTGCCGGAGAAGATGGTGGAGTTGCAAGGTGGCGTTGCCAAAATCGACAGCGAAATTTTCTAGCACATATTGCGGTCTGCAAGGCCGATCCCGCAGCACGCAATGCAATTCGGATGGGTGTTTTTTTTGCGAACGCCGTCAAGCATGAATATTATTGCATGTGCAACACCAGGGCCATATAACCAGGTCTACACATATGTGTTGCCGCTTCCTCGCTGTAGCCATAAGCCGATCATGTATCTGGCACTTCGTATCGTGTTACTGTGCTGTCTGCTTGTGAAACCTTGCATGGCCCACAGAAGGAAAGTATTGCGATTTGCATACCATTCGCACGCATGGTCCCACAGTACCTCGATGGACATGCGCGTTCAATTCGGGCCATGAGTTCTTTCATGGGGGGAGGATGTGCGAACTCTCGCCATCCCTCTCGAGGGACTTCGCGAGATGAGTTACTCATGTGGGTACGTGCTGGGTGTGCACTGTCTAACGTATGATCATTGCCCAGACGCGCATGTACGGCGGCATGTTCCTCCACGCGCCCTAGAGAGAGGAATCCGCGGGAGAGTTGCTGGCCGAGAGTTGCAGGAGCCAGACAAGGAGGATCGAGAATGCAGGCGAGGGCGAGGGAGGCAAGCACCCACGTCGCCTCGCCCCCCCTCTTCCCACTTCAGCGGGCCAGGCTGCGGTATAGAAGTGATAGCCCCTCGTCCGCTCTCGAGTTCCACGCAGGGGGCACTACATAAGGCATAGCATCGCCCTTAGATGTCCAGGCCACATAACTGCAACGAATTGCCCCCCCAGCGTTCCATTCATCCATCCATCCATCCATCCTTGCTCCTCGGCGGGACTGCCGGTCCAGGCCTGGAACTGGCACGGGATGTCCAGTGGCTGCTTTGCGTCCTTAGCAAGGCCCAGCAAGAGAGGAGCAACAAGGAGAGCGGACAGATGTGGGAGACAGATCGCCCCTCGGTCTGCGACGATCATCGCACGCACTGCCAGCACGACAGTGCTCAGTTCTCCGAGCGTCACGCTATGGCATAAGGCTGCGCACGCGCTCGAACTCTTGAATGTTGACCTCGAAACTCAAGGGTGGAACAGTAGAACAACAGCAACATGCTGCTGCTATTGCTGCTGCTCCTCCTCTCCTCTCCTTCTTCCTCCTCTTGGTTGTCATCCTCATCGCTCCTCCCCCAATTCCTTCTTCTTCTCCTGCTCGTCCTCACCGTGATCAGCGTGGGAAAGCATGGCGGTCAGGAGCTGGGGCGGGGGGCCGCCGTCGGGATGGGGAGGCGCGCGCGTCCGCCCGCCCTCGGCTCGAGCCGCTTTGGCCCGCCCGTGCTCCGTGACATTCTGAGGTCGCCTTTGGGGGTCATCGCGGAGCCCCGGATCGGGGGGGGCAGGTCGGGGCCAGGGCCGGACCTGAACGGTGTCGTGGCGATTTCGTGGGCCGTTTTCGTTTCGACTTCGTTTTGTGGCAGAGGTGCCTTGAAGACCACACGAGGGAACATGAAAACGACAAACACCGTGTAGGTTCAGCCTTGATCGGGACCCCTGACATAACTGGAGGTCGACGCTGCGAACAGATCACGACGTCCCCGACCCCAGGGCCAGCTTTGAGATGCCGAGCTGATCGTTGAAGGCCTCCAGGGGCCCAGTGCCCGAGAGCCCCAGGAGGCCGACGGCGTCCCACAATCTGCCGCCGTGGTCGCCTCATCAGGGGACCCTCAGTCCCGAGGTTCCGAAACAAGATGAAACGTCCCCACCGAAAGGGGTCACCGTGGAGCCCTCGGCCCCACCGCTCTGCGGCACCTCCCGCGCCCAGGTGGAGCCGCCAGGGCCCCGGCGGGCCCGAGAGCGTGCGAGAGCGCCCCCGCGCGCACAGAGTGGCCGCGCCCGGCTTTGCGGGGAGGGGGCCCGTGTCGTCACCCAGGTCGACGCCACGAGTTGGTCACAGCGTCGGCCCCCAGGTCTCGGCCCAGTCCCCCTGGACTTCAGTCGGGCCTGTCCCTCTACAGGAGGAGTAACCCAAAATAGTCAGAAAAGAGTCGGGGAACGATTTGTTTGAGTATTTGATGTGGTAATGTGTTCTTCAAATTTTGAGTATTTCATTTGGTATGTTTTCTCCAAACAGGCTTGCCCTATATGAGTCCGAGCTCGAACCTTACTGTTTGGTCCGTTGCCCGCCCCCTAATTCCTATGCCCCACCCCTAATTCCTATGGTTATGCCTACGCCTATGCCTGTGCCTCCCCCCGAACTCTTATGCCTACGCCTACGCCTACGCCTACGCCTATGCCTATGCCTATGCCTATGCCTATGCCTGTGCCTGTGCCTATGCCTATGCCTATGCACCACCGCTCGCTTGTTTGCTCTTGCTTGCCCTTGCTTGTTTGCACTTGATCGCTGGCTCTTGTTCGCTTGTTATTTCTCGCTTGCGCTTGCTTGTTTCCGCTTGCTTGCTTGCGCTTGCTTGGTTTTGCTCCTCCCGTCCTCCTCCCGTCCTGCTTCCGTCCTCCTTTCGTCCTCGTCCCATCCTCCTCTCGTCCTCCTCCTGTCCTCCTATCTGCTTGGAGTCAACGCTGGCTGATATGAAAACTCTGTGGGTCATTTTAATTTGTCGTGCAACATCCGCCTGTAGGGGGACATACCCGACCTAACCCTGGACCGTCTCCTCCTTCCCGAGTCGCTCTTGGACGGTCCCGGGGCCTGGCGAGGACCGCCCGAGGCGGGCCGGCAGCCCCGCAGGCCAGAGGCAGCCATGGCTGGCGCGGTCGTGGCCCCCCAGGCGGTTGTCGGGGGCAGCGGCACATGCTAGTCGTTGAGCCCAGACCCCCCTCGGACAACGAACGAAAACATGACGGGAAGTTTTGTATTCTTTTCGGCCTCTGGGGGCCTTTGTCGGCCCTCGGGGCCGTAACAAAAACGACTCAGGATGAAAAACGGGTCCAGGGGAATGGGTCGAGACCTCCAGGGGTCGACGTAATGAAAAAATCATGACGTCGGGGGTCTGGGAAAGCAGGTCTGTCCTGACTCCCAGATCCCAACCTCCTCGAGGCGCCGTCCTACTTCAGGGGTCGAGCGGTGCTCCTTCTGCCTTCCTGTTTTCAGGGGGCGGGCGGAAGCCCAGTTTCTTCTCAACGCCTTCCTGCGTCGTGTCCCTACCCGTTTCTTCCGACCGACGGGCAGGGGGGTAGGCTCAGGGGGGGGGGGGGAATCATCGACCTCTAAACGCCCACTCATCGCCGACAGGGGCCCGATGGCCCCACCCCGCCCAGGCTGGTGGGCCTGTCGCCGATCTCTCGGCGTTGCATCGCCCATTCCAACTCGATGTTTTCCCCATTGAGCTGGCCCCCCCCTTTACCTTGTCGGCGCGCACAGGGGTGAAGGGGAAAGGGGGAATGCTTCTGAGAAGGAGGCTGCTTCTTAGAAGGCGCCAGCCCTACATTTATAGACAAGGCCCGCACTTTCTAAGAAGCCGTCCGCACTCCCCCATACACCTTTGTTGTGCGCGCCGCCAAGTTGGGGGGGCAGGTCCTCAGGGGGGGGGGGGGGGGGGGGCAACATCGAGTTGGAATGGGCGATGCACGATGCATCGCCAAGAAATCGGCGACAGGCCCCCGACAACGGCGAATCCGCACGTTCAGGGCGGGGTGAGGCCATCGGGACGCCTTCCAAGAAGCTTTCCCCCCCCCAACCCCCCTATACCCCCCTGTGCGCGCCGCCGCCATACTGCGCGGACCTTTCCCAGGGCGCGTTCCGGCCAGGAGCTCGAGCCCCCCCCCCCTGAACGTGGCCCAGGGTTCAGGGAGGGAGGGGAGGGGAGGGGAGGAGATGGGGAGGGAGGGGATGGGAGGGGAGGGAGGGGAGGGAGGGGAGGGAGGGAGGGACGACGACGACGACGACGATCCTCCCCCCCTCCCCCCCCCCCTCCCCGCAGGGTGCCGGGCGTCAGGCCGCCGCCGCTCGGCGCCGCGCGGGGGGCGACGCCCGCCGCCCGCCCGGCGCGGGCCGCGAGCGGCCCGCCGCCGCGGCGCCGCGGCCGGGGCGCGCCGGTGGCCCCGCCGCCCCAGCGGAGGCGCTCGGGCTGCTGCTGGCGGCGCCGCTCGGCGCCTGTCCGCCGGGCGAGGCCTCGGGTCGTGCTGCTCCCGTCGTGCTTCGGGACCACATGCCAGAAGCAATCGTGACGGGAGGTGTCTTGCTATGTTCGGCCTCTGGGGGCCAATACCGGCCCTCGGGACCGTCAACAAAACGACGCGGGAGGAGAACCCGGTCCAGGGGAATGGGTCGAGACCTCCAGGTTTCTGTTGCTCCCATCGCACTTCAGGACCACATCCCAGAAATAATTTCGAGCACCTGGAAAAAAGTGTCGAGAGAGTGTCGAAACAGTGTCGGGCGAGTGCCTCCCAGGGCCCGGAACGCGAGAACCTTCGAGTTTTCTTGGGTGCTGTTCTGGTGCTCGAAATTCTTTCTGGTGAAACAGGCCAAAGTAGGTTGGAACATTATAAGCCTCGGGTGGGGGGGGCGGAAGCCGAAGCCTATCGGAGGCGACCGTAGGGACAACGACGACGACGACGACGACGACGACGACGACGACGACGACGACGACGACGACTCTGGCGCGGCGCGCGCGCTCGGGCGCTGTATCGAGCGTTCTGGCAGGTCGGCCGGCCTCGTCCGCGGGCGGTGGCGGCGACAGCGGAGGCGTCGCTCGTCGTGGACGGTGTGCGGGCGTTCTCGTCAGTTCTCGGCGGCTTTCCAGCGTGCTCTCTCCAGCAGCTGCGCCTCGCTGGGAGCGGGCGGCGGCTCAGGGACAAAGTCAGGCTCTCAGAGGCGACGATAGGGGCGAATAGCCCAGGGGAGAGCACTGCATGCATCCAGGGGCGCCGATGAGCTATGTCTTGGGCAAGGCTCCTGGGCGAATGCGTGCAATGCCCGCCCTGGGCTTCTTATTCGCCCTCGTCGCCGCCGAGCCTCGCCGATCCACGATTCGGGCAGCTCGATAAGGCGGCGGGGGTGGGGTTCGGAAGTCGTCGAGCGCGTGGCGAAGTCCGAACCCTTCTGGTTGGTGGGGGCAGCGTTCAATGGCCCCCCACCTCTATCGGGGGCACCACCTCACGGGCTTAAAAAACGCCCCTGCCCTGGTTTACGAGGCGCTGTGCGCTGAACCTCCTGTGGGCTGACAGGGTAAGCGCTGCATTTCGCGCGTGTCGCGCAGCGTCCTAGCGGCTCTCTGGCCTCTGGGAGCTCCCAGGAGGTCTACAGACCGCGCACGCGTAGCCCGTAGCCCAGGGGTAGGGGCGTTTTTTCCACCCCTCCGCCAACGGCGACGCCCAGACCTCCTCGCGCGGAGGGGGAGGTCCCCACGGAGGCGTGCGCCCTCCTCGAGCCGTCGGCCCGAAGGCCGCGCCCACAGGAGAGCGCACGGGGCTGGACCTGCAGCGGTGTTCTGGCGATCGTTCGTGGGTCGTCTGCGCTTCGATTGCGAAGGCCTTACGGCCGGTGCCGCCGACCCTGAAGACGACGAAGATGAAAACGAGGAGGAGGAGGAGGAGGAGGCAGAGGAGGAGCAAGAGGAGGGGAGCAAGGGGGCGAGGAGGAGGAGGAGGATGAGGAGGACGTGGGTCGTCTGCGCTTCGATGTCGTGTTTTGCTGTAGAGGCGAACCGAAGCCAAGACGAGGGACAACGGGAACACAACGAACACGAAAATGAACACAGCACAAAACGAACACGAGACAGGACGAGGGACAACGAAGACAAAATGAGCACGAAACGAGAACGAAAACAACACAGAACGAACACGAGGCAAGACGAGGGAAAACGCAAACGAAACGAGCACGACGAACACCGCTCAGGTTCCGCCCAGGAGCGCGCACACGATGCCGCCCCCGGCGGCGCCACCTCGGCGCCCGCCCAGCCGGGCGAGGCCCCGGGGGCACCGGCGGCGGGGCCCACCTCGGCTGCGGCCCCGCCGTGCTCCCCGGGCGCTCTCGGGAGCATGGTCGAGTCGGGCCTGGCCCTCTACAGGGGGGGAGAGTCCACAAGAGTCGAACAATAGTCTGGGGGGACTGCGTTTTTTTTTCGATTTTTTTGTTTCGGGGTATTTGTTTGAGTCTCGTTAGTTATTCGCCCAAGATCCCCCTGGAACAATTGTTCGTCATTGTTTGTTTTACTTTTTCAAGGTATTTGTTTGAGTCTCTTCAGTTTTTCGCCCCAAGATCCCCCTGGAGCAGGGGGACAGGCCCGACCTGAGAGGAGGGCGGGAAGTTCAGCCCCACTTTTGCCAGCTCCTTCGGTGCCGATTTCCGCCCTGCTCTGCCGTCGCTGTTTCCGCCACGCCTTTGCGGAAACGTCCGTCCGGCTTTCCGCGGACATTTCTTCGGGAATACCCGCCCAGCTTTGTCGCTTCGTTGGGGGTGCATTTCCGACACATTGTGATCCGTCGGGTACCCGGAGTCAGACCTTGTCTCGCATGGGGCAAGGATGACGACGTCGGTTGTTCATTCACCTATTCCAGATCTCTCAGCTTATCATTACTTCATCACGTGGGCCCCTGGGGCCTTGACCCCTTCCCAGGGCCCGGTGACGTGAGGGCCCCCGTGGTGTTAGACAGCAGTTAGACTTGCCCCGCCGTGGGTTCGCTCGCTACGCGCTGGGGCCTCAGACTCTCTGGCCGTCCCCGGCGCCCCCCCTCCCCGTCGGCTCCCCCCCCGAGGCGGAGGCGCCCGAGGGCCTGTGCGGGGCTGCGCGCGGGGCCGGGTGCCCCGCCGCTGAGCAGGCCCCAAGGCCGGGTCTGGGCGCGTCCCCGGCGCTCCGCGTGCGGAGCTCGGGATGGGAAGTGGGGGGGCAAGACAAAAGCACAGACAATATGGGGAAATATGGGGAAACCTTTAATTTGTGTGTATTTATTTGTGTGTCTTTGGGCCCCTTGAGGAACACGTTCGTGGACGCGCCCCTGCAGAGGTCCCCCTCCCTGGACCGCTTCTTCGAGCCGCGCGCGTGCAGCTCCATGCCGCCGACGCCCCAGGTCGGGGGCCACGATAGGCGGGGATAGGCAGAGGGGGGGATGCATCGACCTCCAATCGCCCATTGATCGCCGATAGGGGCCCGATAGCCCCAAGCTGCCCAGGAAGGTGCGGATTGGCTATCGGAGGCCTATCGCCGATCTATCGCCGATGTATCGCCGATTGCAGGTCGATGTTTCCCCCCCTATCCCTCTCCCCCCTTATCGTTGCCCCTCACCAGGGGCGCCTGGGCCGCCCGCAGATGGCCGTGACGTCCCTGGACGAAGACATGATCAACACTCCCGCGGACAGGATGCCCGCCTACATGATCAGCACCCCGACGGACAGCGTCCTGGACGGCATGTTCCCCACCCCGAGGGGCGAGTCGCTGTCCTGGCCGCGCCCGGCCTCACCGATGCTGCAGATGGGGCGCCTGCACCAAGCCGGCCCCCTCCGTCTCAGCCTCTCGGACGCCATCGGAACGTTCTCCGACCCGCCGCTGGGCGCGGCGGCGCCGACCGCTGCGCCGACGGCCGTACCGGCCCTGCAGGAGTTGGGCTGCGCGTAAGGCTACCCTTCGCCAGAGTGACTTTTGGCTGGCGGCGAGCCCAGGGGGGAAGTGAGAGGGGGCAGGCCTTCCCAGCAGGCGGCGGTCGGGCACGTCCCCAATTACAGGCGGATTTTGTAGGAAAGGCAATAATGATTCAGAGCAGGATAAAAAATAGCCAAATCACGCCCGAAAAATCGTCCCCAGGCAATGTTGTTTGATTACGTTTTTGAATATTCCTCCTGTAGAGGGACACGCTCGACGTAAGACCGTCGCTGGCGCCTGGCCGGGCCAGCCCTGCGCGCTGGCAAAAGAAACGTTATAAATGGCTATGTCAGTTCTAACATTTTAAACCTGATGTATCGCAAGTTCACACAGACCGACCATGTAATTAGAAGTAGGGCGAGTTACTTGTAGTCATTCAGGGCCTTCAAGGCGGCCCGCCAAGGCCAGGCAGCAAAGGTCACTCTTGCCTGTGGCCGCTCTTGCGTGCAGCCGGCAGGAGATCATCGGGTCGGGCCGTTCGCTTGGTCAGGACGCGCTGCCGAGCCGCGGCTCTGCGCTTCACCGGTACGGTGCCTGCAAGCCGTGCGCTTTCATCTACCGAGAGGGGTGCAAGGGTGGCGTCGATTGCCAGTTCTGTCACCTATGTGAGCCTGGCGAGCGCAAGGCGCGCAAGAAGGAGCGGCTGGCCGTGAAGCGCGACACAATGGGGGAGACGCGTCGCGACCAGCCGTCTTTGAGGCGGGGGCGGCTCGGCGGCTGCTAAGGTGGCCGCGCGGAAGGGGGGAGGGTGTGGAAATGAGAGCAGTCTCGCGGGGCTGCCTGTCACACTGTGCGCGGCGTGCACGCAAGCGGTCCTCCGAAGCAGGACGAGACTGCGTGCGAATTTAGAATTCAGGTGGATTTTCCATGCTCTTCTCTGCCCCTCCCTTTTCCCTTCTAGGTAAGGTCTCCACGCCCGTCTCCGATCTTGAAGATCCTGCACTATCGTCTTTTGGCGGCGCGCACAAAGGAGGGGGGGGCCTTCTAAGCAGCCTGGGGGGCGTCTTTGAAGGCGGGTGCCTTCTTAGAAGCCCTGGAGGATTCTAAGATGGCCTCTGGGAAGCTCTTCTGAAAAGCCTCGTGCCCTCCAGGAATCCCCCCCGGCGTCCGAGAAAGCCACCCCTCTCGCATCACCCCCTTGCGCGCACCGACGACCATTAGAATTCTTGCGAGAGTGTTTCGCTGCGGGCAAACGGGCTTCGCGATGCCACGCCCGCGCGTTCCTGCGGCAGGAGTCCTGCCGGCATGCGCAGCCGGGCTGCTACAAAAGCAGCCTGCCACGCCCGAGAGGCTATCTCCGAGGCGGGGGTTGATCCATAACTACCGCCCAGGGGATCGATCATCGTGGGCTTCGGCAGGTGGTGGATATGGATATGTTCGGCCTCCTCTCATGGGGCCCGTACATCGACGAATCTCTCTCGATATATGTATATGTATACAAAGTGTATATCTCTCAATTCTCATACGCACCTCTCCGAGGGAGTAGAGCTCAGAGGCGATTAAAGCGTACGCGCCGCGTCGTTCGCGATTGTTCTTGCCGTTTCGCTAGGGACATCCTCGGAATTCTGAAAATCGGTGGCACCCCTCACACAGATCGTGATGTCAGGGTCCAAAAAACACATGGGAACTTCAACATTTTAATATACCACCTTCAAACACACATTGTAATTTCAATGATTTTGACCCCGATTCTCAGAGAACGGCGGTTTCGCCTGAGACATCCTCCAAACATCGAGCCCCGACGTACCTTCTGGTACCCCAGACCCCGCCTCGGAGCCTTCTGAGGGCCTCCTGGAACGTCCTGGGGCCTCCTGGGGCTTTCTGTATTTTCTGGTACCCCAGACCCCGCCTCGGAGCCTCCTGGGGGTCTCCTGGAAGAACCTCCTGGGGCCTCCTGCGGCATCCTGGAGCCTCTTGGGGCCTCCTGGAGCCTCCTGGGTCTCCTGGGGCCTCCTGAGGCCGCCTGGGGCCTCCTGGGGCCTCCTGGGGCCTCAGAACTACATGTACACACAGAGACACAAATCACACCCAACACATCACACGCTAGACAAACATAACGCACACAACACCAACAACGCACAGAAAACATGCACAACGCAGAACACACATCACACTCACTTACACACACACACACACACACACCCACATAGCACTCATAATCCTGACGCCTCCTGCAGCCTCTTCCGGTATCCAAGTCGGGTCTCCTGAGGCTTCCTGGGCGGCCCTGGTACACACATCGCAAGGTGTGGCAACCCCACTTGCGCTCGAGTGCGACCTGGCTATTGCATTTCACTCCCAGCAGCTATCCTCCTCTTCTCCTGCTTCAAACGCCCTTTCAGTTTTTGTTTGTATGAGCCTGGGCACACACGTGCCACGTGTGTACCTATACATATATATATATATATATACATATTTATATATATATATATATAGGTACACGTGCACATGTCTACATGTATGTGTATATGCATATATCTAAATACCAGTTCCCAAGGCGGTGAATATGGACATGCCTTCGCCTCGCAATATCTGTTCATCTATTTGGATCAGTGCATGAAGCCGAGCTGGTCAGCGCTGGTGCAACGGCACACGGCACTCTTACAGTAGTTAGAAGATTGGCGCCACCAGTCGCACGACGTGGAGAAGAAAACGAATCCTGGAAAAGTTCCCAACTGCATGAACGCATTGCTTGGCATTAATTGGCACTGCTTTGCAGTGCTGGGAGCCGGAGAAGCCCGAGCAGCGACCAAAGCTGGGGGCCCTGGGGACCCCAAGAAAGTACCGAGACCAGGTGGCCCGGGGAACCCGAGGAATAAGAAATGGGAACCCGAAAAACCCGAGCAAGGGGCAAAACTGGAGATCCCGAGGAGCAGGACTTGGAATTCCGAGTAATGAAGGCAAGGAAAGTATGGGAAAGGCCTTTGCAAGGAAACACGACCTGGGAACACCCTTGGAGCCCCCTTTCTAAGGACACAAGCTCAGGGAACCCCGAGGAACGCTGGGGCCAACCGCGACCGGCACCCACCCGTTCTGCACAAACAGGTAAGATCTTTTCAGGCAGTGCGAAGTCTACTTCTAGACGCTTCGCGAACCCCCACCCCCACCGGCCCATCCAGGAAAAATGCCATGACGAGTTGCCCTGAACAGGGATGTGTTGGAGCGTGCAGTGGAATAAAGGGGTGTGTAAGACGTCCTGCCTCAAGAGGGGGGAGAATGGAGGAGGAATCGGAGGAGCAGGAGAAGGAGGATGAGGATGATGATGATGATGGTCAGGAGGAGGAGGAGAAGGAGGAGGAGGAGGAGGAGAAGGAGGAGGAGGAGGAGGAGAAGGGAGAGGGTGAGGGCAGGAGGGAGGAGGAAGAAGAAGAAGGAATAGGCGGATGAGGAAAAGGAGGAGGAGGAGGACGAACAAAAAGGCCTGAAACCTCTTGGATGCCCATCGGAGTCTATTCGGATTTGTCCCGAGAGCTTCGTTGAGTCATCTTGGGGTGTCTTGGGGTCTCTTGGCAGTCCCAGACACCACTGTGAGCTTGGGGGGCCATCTTGGGGCCATCTCGGAGGAGATCGATCCAAGGAGGGGCCGTAGTACATTAGGGTCCCCCCCCGGGAGGCTAACATGTGGCCAAAAGCTTTTTGAAAAATACACGATTTTGGTATTCTCGCCGAGGACTCTTCGGGCATCTTGGGTGCCTCTGGGGGGGGCCCTGAGGCCTCTTAGGGGTCTCTCGGGAGCCTTTGGGGGGCCTCTTGGGGGCACCTTGGGGCATCCTGGGAACCTGTTGGGGCTGTCTGGGCACTCTTAGGAGCCTCGGCACTCTCTGACAGGGCGGCGGCCAGTCTGCTCTGTGTCCGGCGCCCTCGGGCCGCCTCGGTGGCCCTTCCTGGCGCCGTTGCTGCTGCTCCTGCTGCCGCTGCTGACTTCAGGGGGATCATCCGCCGTGTCAGCGAGTGGATGCACATGTCGGGGGCGGCAAAGAGGGGGGTGATGACTAGGGGGGGGTGGATATCATGGCGGGGGCCATGATATTTCCCCAGATTTCATGGCGCCTCTTCTTATTTCATTACGTCCCTGGTCCCCCCGCTGGGCCGCGCACATGCCGCTGGTCATGATTTGCACCCCCCCTCTTGGACACCCCCCTCTTTGCCGCTCCCGAACATGAGGAGCGAGCGCATCCCTGGCCCTAAAGGTCAACTCTGCTTCTACATCAGTCTCAGGGCTCACCATCCGCCGATGGCTTCTCTTCCTCTCGGCAGCGGAGCTGGTTGCACACTTGTGTGGCTAGCTCTGTTGCTTGCAATGTGCCAGGGCACAATATGGATATCCAGCTTGGACTACCATGCGCCGACGTCCTTTCGGGGAACGAAGCTGGCATACCCCACCCGGCAACGGGTCAATGTTCAGCAACGAGCTGGCATCCAGCAGTGGATCTACCGATGCCAGCACGTCAGCTCCTACCACTAGCCACAGCCTCAGGAGGTGTTTAATCCCCCCTGATCTCTCGTTGAAAATGATCCTAAACTGCCTCGTGTCGGCGGAGATAGTTTCCTTCTACTGTTGGGCGGGCTGGATAATGTTTGGCTGATATTTCCCCAGCGGAATAATCCACTGCGGGATTCTCGGCACGCGGGAGGATTTGCGAGCATCTTCTCTTCAGGATTGCAATCGGAAATGTTTCGATTCGCGAGGTTGCTCGAAGTCGTTGGCCCAGCAATGCCGGCAGACCTCCTGCTGGCGCCTGGTCGGCGCGCGCGGCGTCATGGGATTTCGTCTCCAGGGGGTCGGACCAGAGCCACAGGTCGGGGGTGTGGACAGAACCCGCACCCTGACACGTCGATTCGTGAATTGTCCGTTTTCGGTTCTCGAGAGGCCGCCGCTGCCGTCATCTTCCAGGCTTGCGCCCGCCAGGATTGGGCCCGAGGTCGTTCTTACTAAACCGCGTTTTGCTAAAGGGGGTCCTGTCCATCCCCGAAAAAGTGGCCGTGCCTCTGCGGTCGGTTTGAAGCGCTGGCGCGACGTTTAGGACGGCGTCTGCCGCGGCCGCCTCGGAGTCAAAGTTGGGCGCCCGCGGGCGGAATCGCGCAGGGCGCACAGAAAAGAACCCCATCGACGAGGAGCCGTTCCTGTCGTCCGTGGTGGAAAACAAGCCCACCAAGAGGGGGCCCGACCTGGTTAGTAGTAGGGCCCCAAAGCCTTTTAAATTAGCCAGAATCGCGACACCAGGTCCGCCGCAGCTGGTGTTTTTCGAGTGACGGCAGTTCCGGTTAGCGGAGCGGGGCGGGGGGGAGCGTCCCCCAGTACACATCACTAAACCAGGTCCCATTAAACCCAGTGCTGCCAACGCCCGACCAATGACGAAGAACCGTTCTTGAAGCTTCCCCGATGTATGATTGAAATCCTGGGAGGTTACATCCAGCACCGGCGCTGGTATATCCGCGGTCGAAAACCAGCCCAATCGCGCATAAGTCTGCGCGCAATTCCGTGTACTACCGCTCAAGTGGGTTCAATGTTGCTCAGTCTGGTGCCCTATCTGTCTGGCCCAATCTGGTTCAGTTGTCCTTGAATCGGGCTTCGTAGCCCCTCATCGTTCGTTCGAAGACCCCTCCCAGTAGTAGCATGCTTCCTTTGCGAGGTGGGGATCTATCCATAACCACCGCCTGGGGATCGGTCTCGGGAGCATCTGCAGACGGCGGATATGGAGCTGTGAGGTCCGCCCGGGAGGGCCCGAGTCTATCCACAAACACCGCCTTCGGGGATCCCCGAAGATCGATTCACCAGGCGGCGGTGATGGATGCATCTCAGGAAGGGAAAAAACACACAGACACAATGAATCGTCGATCCCACGGAAAATATGGGGAAAACATGGGAAGTGGCGGGAAGACTAGAACCCAGAAAGTGTGGACAAATCTGGGGCATCCCGGGATCTGTGTGTACCTCTTTGTGTGCCCCTGGGCCCCTTCAACAGCCCCGCCACGCCTCGCCCTCCCTGCCTCCCACGGCGGAGCCCTGCCCCGGCTGCGAGGGGCGCGCCGGCCGCGCGCCCCCGTCGCGCGCGTGCGCCCGCCGCTGCAGCCGCCGGAGGCTGCTCGAGGAGGGTCCGCACCCAGGCCGTGCGGCTCTCACCGCCTCGCCCCGCTGGAGGCCCTGGCGGGGCGGGCCGCTGTCGCCGTTCGCCGTCGCCGGCGTCGGTGCCCCTGCCTCGCCTTGCCTGTCTCTGCGGCCCCTGTCCCGGCTTCCTCCTCC